CCACTTAAGTGGATTCAGAATCAACTTAAGTTGATTCCGAATCCACAAATATCCCGTATCCACCTACAACATATATAAGCAATTTAAGCTTTTTTTTTATATATAAATTTTTATTTTCAAATATTATTAAAAATTTTTTAAATTTAATTAAAAAAGTAAATTATGAACAAATTTATAGCAATTTTTTAGACAAATTTATTTAAAATTGTCTACAGTTTAAAAATATTAAGGTTTATTTATATTTTTATTAGATTTTATACAACTTTTTTATAAATTTGTCTATAAACAAATCTAAAATCTAAACAAATAAAATTTTCTAGCTATAGTAGACAAATTCTAATTCGAAATTTCAGACCCCGGCCAAATCCCAAACCATATTTCAAATTTCAGACTTCTAGCCAAATTCCAAATCGATAACATAATATTTGTACTATGTTTTTGATCAATAATTTATATAGTACATATATTAAAAACTAAAAACCAGTATGAATGCAGAGTATTAAATTTTTAAAATAATCTTTAAAATAATAAATAATTAATATTTATTGCTATAAATATATAAATATATAAATAAAATTAAATAAATTAATTAAGCTTTTATTTTTATTTTATTTTTTTTAGATATCTTGCTCTCATGTTATAAACGGACCTTTGATCCGTTATAACAATTTTCAAATCTACTTATTATCAGTTTGAAAATACGTGCGTAACAGAATATTGGAGTACCGGAGTAACGGGCTTTTAAATAATAATAATAATTATAATAATAATAATAATAATTTAATAAACAATTTACGCAGGATTTAAGAACAATGAAATAGTACAATAATGAATAAAATAAAGTTCAAGACTGACACATCACGCGAGAAGTTAATAAAAAAAAAAGAACAATAGAAAACAGATCAATATTACTATGTAATACAGTAATAAAAAACATGTCATGCACGTCAAGACTATATTTAGTAAATATAAAGAATATAAAGCATAAGAATTTACTTTATATAGATAGATATGCAAAGCTAGGGAGCCGAACGAAATTCGATCACCTCGTGTTAAAACGGATAAGCGTATGAGCGCCAATTCAGCAATTTTAGTCTAGCTAAATTTGAGAAATAAGACCCGTAACGCATTTCAGCTACATTGACCGGGAATGCGTATTGTATTATATGCTATTTACTGTATATGCTATTATATGCATACATCCGATTGAAACAAGTCGAACAGGAAATATAACAAGAACAGACCTTGTTTGTTTCAGTGGTTACATTTTAATGTCAAAAATCTGGCGAAGAACTATAAGTCTTTAAAAAGATAAAATATGCAGTGAAACGAATAAAAACTGGAATAAGAATATACAGAATATTAGTATAAATACACAAAAAAATATCACCAATCTAAACCTTTTATGAATAAGGTTTTATTAATACAGTTATAATTTACATAAATAACCAAAGGCTTTAAGCATCGAAATTTCCATAATAGGAGAACCATTCAAATTATATACATATAACTTATACGTACTCTATGATTTACATTTGGCACATACGTACAGTACATTTAGTCCGTTCATCTTCACTCCAGTACATTGAAAATTTTTAATTTTACCCCGCCAAAAAAAACAGAAAAACAATAAAAAACTGTCACTATTCTTTAAACCGATTCGTTGACATACAGTATCAGAATGATACTTTTCAATCGTTTCCCCACTGAATGATCTTTGAAATTTTGTCAATCACAAATAGTTTAATTTTGACATGTAATTCTTAACCCTTTTTTTTTATTTTTTTATTTCCTGATACAGTATAAACCATATCAGCAATACGTATACATTGTCTAAAAGTATAAAAAGTGACTCGTGACATCACTAAAGTCCCTTTTCATATCATAAAAATTAACAAAAAAATAAATTCATTATTAAGGTTCATACTTAAAGTAAGTTCATACTTAAAGTAGGTTCATACTTAAAGTAGGTTCATACTTAAAGTAGGTTCATGCTTAAAGTAAGTTCATGCTTAAAGTTCACACTTAAAGTTCATACTTAAAATTCATATACGTACTTTAACATTCATACTCCTGTGACAAATAAACAATTAATTCATTTATGCGCAATTTAATAGAATAAGAACATGTGATTTGATTAGAGAACTTCCCGCCAAAAGTAAACAAAAATCGCGAAAACAGTCCGATAAAAAAAAAAAAGTTTCAAAAAAAATTTCATGGGAAAAAGTTTTAAATTCAAGCAACTTGGCGTTATTTTTTTTAATAATTAATCATTGGTCATATGAAAAAGTGCATTATGTTTTGCTAATTTTATCAAGATTATAATTTTTGGAATTGAAATCGCGTTCAATCACAAGGTTTGTTTTTGATGGCATATGTAATCTAATGTGAGAAAAAAAAAAGATTGCCTATTTTTGTATATGTTTATTTGTGGAGTAAGGTGTTAAAGAATTCTTTTTTTTCGTGTCTGGCGAATCTTGCAGAAGATAGTTACAGATAAGTGAAATCGGGATGCTTTTGTCAGAAATCATAATAAGGGGAAACAATCTTGAATGTGTTTTGATTGTAATCTTATACGTATTCATAACATTTGATAGAATTTTATAGAATTTGGTAACATTTAGTAATATTCGGTAAATATTTGATACGGTAAGATTTTAGTACGTAGTACACATCAAATTTTATTTGTCAAGTTTTAAAATTGCTGCCGTACGTACAGGCTAACCGAAAAGATAATGTACATACGAATGTAATTGAGGTATACAAAAATAACAAAGGATATTTTAAGACTTTGTATATAATATGTATCTGTAACTACGTATAACTTTTTAAAACACGAATCCATATGCGTGAATTAAACCATTATTAAGTGAATTAAAATTTGGTTTACATATGAAATCTTGATTCAAAACGATTCTAACACTTTATTTTTCTCCTTTAATGCATCAAATAATTTATAGACCACTTTTTTGAGGCTAATATAGTAGTATCAGGTATGAACATAATACACAGATACACAGAATACATCAGCAAAAAAATGTATATATCAAAATTTTGCTAATTTACTGTATTTGTTATACGTATAATTTATATTTATATTGAGTAAAGTATGTACGTACGTATTAGTTGTTAATAAGAACAGTATATAACATATTATTACCGTTAAGTATCTGGTATTATATTAATAATATTAAAGATTTGCAAATATAATATATATATATATATCAAATATATATAATATATATATCAATATGTATCATGTATATCAATAACATTTTGTTGTATAAGGACTATTATACCCGTTAACAATAGATGCGCATTGTTAGGAATAAGCGACGGATTTTTCTGATTTTCATATGTAAGATCAGCAACTATAAATAACACAATAGCACTTATCAACAAAATAAAAAATTAACGTCATTAACGTCATTAGATTAACAAGAATTTCTAAAATGTCACGTTTTTTTATCCCTATTGTTGTAGATGAAACACAAGAATTTTTTTATACATTCTACATTAACAATTTGGCGTACCTCATGCAGGATTCACATGCGGGAAAAATATATATAATGGAACCCAAAAGAGCCAATGCATTTTTTTTTTAATTTCAACCGAAATTTAATTTTGTTAAAGTTTCATGGGTTCTAAAAAGCCCGATTTATCTATCTATATATTATAAGTTTTTCTCTGTATAGTTTATAATCTCAAAATTTTATATATATATATATAAGTTTTTTTTAAGAATCCCTTTTTTATAATGTCATATTTGACTCAACAAAAAGCAAGCAAAGAACTTTTATTCTTGCACAATCTTGTTTTTTACACAACGTTTTGTTGTTTCATTCTATTTTCTGCTCTTTGTTTTTTCGCTACTTGTACACAAACTACCATAATGTTCACCACCGATAGAAGTCGTGATTTTGGTAAATGGTGCATAATGCTTGGTCGTGGTATCTTGGCTCTTATTGATACAAATTATCGTTCTTCAAAACTATCTTCAAAAGTATCTTCAAAGTTATCGTAAGTATTCTTTAAATACTCTTAAAAATAATTCTATTTACTGTTATTATTTCTTATATTAATTTTTTTTTTTTTCTTTTTTTTTAAATTTTTTAGTCCTTCAAAATACACACCAAAAATGCCAAGTCTGAAAAAATCTGGCTTATCTTTATTCGACTTACCAAATCGTCTCGTCAATAAATTATCAGAATCTTATTCAATCTCAGAATTTGGAGAAATTTCAAATATGACTGAAGATTATTATCGTCCACGAATTCCATCCGCACTTAATCCAAACAGAAATTTGGAACGAAAAAATGTAAACGAAATTCCAAGTAAAAGACACTCTCATTTAGCTTCTACCAAACAAAAGCGTAGCATGTCTGTCAAGTTGATAAATTCTACTGCTGCTAATAGAGTCATAATTAAGCAAAAAACTAAATTTCCTTCATTATCGATAAATCAAAAATCTAATCAATCTGATGAATTAATGGAGAACCCAGAGTGTATTGCTATTAAAAGATCCTCTTCTGTTAATGAAATTAATGATAAAAATGTAAAACTTTATGAAGAACGTCCAACAATTAATCAACCAAAACGTCGTTTACATAGTAACAAACCACCTTCTGTTTCTTTATCATTGGCTAGAAGATACTTAAAAATTATGTTGAAAATTACAAATCATAAAAATACTATATAAAAATTTATAGTATTTTTTTTTTTTTTTTTTAACGATACTTCGATTACCGATTAATGGCTTTGAACATTCTTTCACACATTTTTTGTGTATAAACATTCTTTTACACATTTTTTGTGTATATCAATTTTTTCTACAACATTGTTCTTGTTTTTGTTTGCACTGTACATAATCATTTTTCTCTTTTATTATTTTTTTTCATTTTTTTTTTTTTCTACAATATGACTTGTATACCTTTATGGTGTTAAGGGTAATAAGAATAAGCAAAAAAATTTAAAATTATAATAGAATAAAATATTAACTTTGTATATACATATTGTTATATGTGCTGTCTCTGAATTAAATATCTCTGAATCGTGAGAATTATTGTCGATCGTTTAAACTTCTCGCGTCATATATAAAAAAATGTCGCGATTTTTTTAAATATTGAAGTAAGATAAGAAATAGAACTTCTTTATGAGACAATTACCAGTTCTTAATAATTTCTAGCACTTTCGTTGACTTTTCGTTGACTTTCATTGACTTACATTGACTTACATTGAGATGCACAAGAAAATCTTTCTTATGTTTACGGATACAAAGAAATACTGTAAATGCTATAAATAGTAGTTCCTTACGAGGATCTAACTGTTACAAGGATAGTTCTTAAATAACCTACTGGCTTAATAATACTGATCAGATACTCTATCGTAGTACGCATATGCAAGTAAAGCCGGTCTTTTTTTTTTTTTGTTTACCGACATGTAAGTCCTTTGTAAGCCTTTTCAAAAATGTATATTGGATATCTGATATAGATTAAAATACATAAGTTATTTCCCTCTTCAAAAAATCATACGTGATAAGCAAATGAATGAAATTGCATAGCATAGCGAATCAGTGCATGCACATGTAAATTTCAAAAGAATAAAATTTATTTTTCTCAATCATTAATGGTAAAAACATTGAAAAAAAAATTTTTTTCATGTATGCTCGATTTTTCAATCTATTTTCAATCTGTTTTCAATCTATTTTCAATCTATTTTCAATCTATTTTCAGTCTATTGTGATTCGAAAAAAATCGGTGGTGGCAGAATGTTGTTTTTCTTGACAAATGAAAATGATAAATGATAAATGATAAATGCAATTAAAAAATATCTTAATTACGATTGCATGAGATAAACAAATCTATCCTAGAAAATTTGGTTTGTTAAAAATATCTTATCATTTTCAAATTAGTTTTAATGAATTTTAGTTATTTACGTACGTACGTACATACTGTACGTACTATCTAAGAAACTCTATTTTTTTTTTTTTTTTTTTTTGTCACTACCATTATTATCGCTACCATTATTTATCGCAATATATTTTTGATTTTTTGGTAATGAGTTTCATGCGATCTGTGACATCTATGTCGTGTTTACAGTTTACTTTTATTGTATTTTTATCTGTTATCATCAATTAATTGCTTTTCCTGAATTTTAATTATTAAAAGAAGTTGTCTTAAAATACTATTATTTGTTGTTCCCTAAATCAGGTATCGCCATTTGTTTATGATATTTATCCATGAATGATTGATTCCTAAAGAGTTTTTATTATAATGATAAGGAACGAGAAACATTCAATGATTCGTTTCGATTACATATTTTTTATTGTATTTCTGTATGTTCTCCGTACTACTTCTTTGTATACTATAAATTTTTAAACCAACAATCACTTTAAGGTTGATCATATCCAATGGAGGCTTGATTGTTGCTCTTTTTTAAACCGTTATTTTTGCAAGTTCCCTGTTTGATTCTTGCTTCAAAAAAAAAATCTGTCGTTTATTTGTCTAAAACAAGCCTAATAGAATGTGCATTCAATCGTTACACGCATATTATGTCGCATCATGTTTAGCCTAGTTTATTGGTTATTGTGTTGACGTTAAAAAGATCGATAAATCAAAATCCTAACTTTTTTGATGTTTTTAAGAAACAAATTTCGGTAAGATACTGTAAATATTGATTAAAATTAGATAGATAACGAGAAATGATGTAAAAAAATTTTTTTTTATTTTCAAATCTGATTAATCAATTCATTTTTATTGCTGTATATTCGCATTTTAACATACAGTAATTGCATTTTTATTTATCATTAATTCTACTTAATGATAATAATTCAATATTAAAAGATTTAAATTATATTTAAGAATGGAAAAGTTTTATCAAACCGCAAGCAAGTAGTTGCATGCAAACATCAATTGTAGTACATTACAGTTTCCATTAATGTGATCCTGCGTATGATTTTTTTCTTAGCATAGATGAGATAGATGAGGGTAGATGAGTGGTATATGAGTGGTAGATAGTGGTAAATGAGGTGAAAAAAAAATTTTTTTTCATTCTTTTGTGAGAACGATTTACAATTTACCGTATTTGAATTCGTTAATTTGCAGTGTTTACGATAAATTGTAAGTTTGTATATAATACGTATAATGTTTTTATAACGATAATAACATAATATATAATGAAATAAAAAATCGTTTTTTTTTTGTTCCGGATATTTGTTGTATGATTATTTTTATTTGAAACAATTTATATAAATATCCTGCCTAATCCTATTTTTATATATGAATAGAAGCAAATTAAATTTTAAAATTATGTCTCTTGTTATTATCAGCACGCACACTTCAACAATGGTTATGATTTTTTATCAAAAAATCACATGATTAGCTATATTATTTCGATAATTATCACTATATATACGTATAAAGTAATAAGATTAACAATAATGATAAAATATATTACGTACAAACAAATAAACAAACTAAACTTTGTTTAAGCTAACTAAATTTTATTAACTAAACTAAAGAAAGTCATGTCATGTGACTAAGAACGTATTATGTATATACTTACTAACGCTAATGATGCAGACATTTCTCAGTGGCATTACGGCTATGATGTAGATGTCGTACTAGCCCAAGGCTATATTGCTGTGAGTGATGTAGTATGCCGTATAGCGTTACTATCCTGAAAAATTTCGCTGGCCTATCAAATTTCAAGTAAACACAAAATCAATAGTTTTGTACGAGATGGTTGGCCGATGACCTAAGTCATATCATTTTTTGATATGACATTGGTCATATAATCATGATTTTTTGTCATAAGTCATATTGGTCATATTAAATGCTAATAAAAAAATTTTTTACTATGATTCTTACTATATTAAAAAAGGTCATAAGTCATATTAACCCTCATTATGACCAAACATAAAGGTCATATAGGTCATTGCTGCATTGAAGGTCATCGGCTAACACTGCTTTACACAATTATAATCAATTTTCGTATACCATCCAATCAAGTTGCTCTTTTTCCAATTTCTTTACCATTATATACCGTATAAGTGCGAAATAATGCCCATCTGCGCTAATTAATTGTCTGCGCGTTATTTATTGAATCAATTGCATTCCCATGGTTTTGAGATTCTTTGATGCAGTCATTAAATATTCTCATTTTGTGCTTGTCGGGACTGTATGTCAAACACAATGTTTTAAACGTGTTGTCTTTATTACAATGTATACTTTTGCCGTATTTAGGTTACCATTTTAATCATCATCAAACATTATATATATTTTTTATATCATTAAAAATTTATTATAATACTCACTAACCGATTCGAATGGTAATTTAAAAGGTATTATATAGTTAGTATATAATAAATAAATGTTTGTAAACATTAATCACTTTTTTAATCCACCTGATTAATAGATTATACTCGCTCACTAAATTAAGATGAATGACGGCATACGGCATTTACGGCATACAACACTTATACAGCATACCGCATTTATGCGGCATACGGCAGGCACTTCTACTTTTACGGCAAATATGTCGTATCGCTGTGATATTTTGCTAGGTAGCTACGTACCTCCAAAATTCTAAATATCTGCACCTCTAAAACTTACATAAATTATTTTTTAACTAAGTTTTAAGTGACGTAAATTATATGTAACTTATATGTAACTTGTATGTAGTTGAATTTATTTAGAGAAATGATAAAATTAAGTTTATTAAATTGTATCACATATATATATATTGGAGAATTACTAATTTTAACGGGGAAAATTTACCGGGATGCTATATCTCAAGTAATTAAGGTTAGAGATTCTAAGTAAAATGTTTAGCACTCCCAAAAACCTAAACATGAACCTTTTTATCTCAAATTACACCTCTTAAAAACACAAAAGAAGAAATTTTATCTCAGTTAAACAGTTATTTCTATATATATTAAATATATTCTGTAATATAGTAAAAAAATTATTTGCACTATATAATATTATTAATAATTAGAAAAAGCAACAATTTGTCAAATATTAAACCAAAAAAGAACTTATATAAAATTATAGTATATAAATTGTTAGTAAAACTATTATATAAACTATATAGTATACTACTGTATTATAATATATTATTGTATAAACCATATTAGTATTATTAAAAAAAAAAAACCCCAATTTAAAAAAGATATTTACTACAAATAACTAGTAATAATCATTACTACCTTTTATTTTTAGAGTTAAAATAAGTTTAAAATATTTAAAAGAGTTTTATAATAGTCAATTTATAGTTAAAATTAGATTTTGAAGGTTTTAAATATTTTGTTTATATTTTTAATATGAATTGTCCAGTAAGTTTTTAAGATATAGTATTTTAATATGAATTGTCTAGTAAGTTTTTAAAATATAGTATTTTAATAATAATTATTATAGTTATAGTTATAGTCAGACCTTCCTAAATGCATATTCTCTAAATGCATAGTCTTTCTAAATACATGGTCTTGCATGGTCCCAACTTATATAACACTTATAGATTTTTGCCTCTCTAAATGCAATACTTCTCTAAATACAAAATTTTTTGACCACCCAATGCTATATATTTAGAGAGGTTTGACTGTAATAATATTTAAAAATTAATAGTAGCAGACAATATATACTAATTAAAACAAAATTATCTAACAAGCATATATCTATATATAGAACACAGCAATACAAT